ACTTAGTTAGATTGAGGGTTTCTAAGATGATCTTACCTTCTACAAAAATACTACTTGCGTCTAACTCCTGCCTTTGAACACACATTTACCTTTGCCCTGTGGTTCTGCAGGTGCCTGCTTTCAATGGCCTCAGATATTTGTGTTTTGCAGAATCCTTTCACTGAAGCAGAATCTAATTCTTAGTAAGAAAATGTTCTTTAAAATTTAATATCCAAGCAGATCTTGTGTCATGATAAATATGGTGTGAATAAGGAGGAAAAGGCTCCAACTAAAAAAGTCCTACTTGGGTGGGGAAGGGGCACAATTGCGTAGTCCTAAAGGTATCTCCAGCAGCATAACTTTATTCTTTTTCTATATGGGACTAACTGTAGTCATTTCACTTCTTATGCTACTGCTGTTAAATCCATATGAAGGAGGATTGTACTGCTTTAACACTGGTACTGGCAAAGCAGAATAACTTAGCCATAGATGAAACTGGAAAACTTCTGCCTAGAATTCAGTATCAAGAACAGGAGAGAAAATGCTTTTGCTTTGCTGTGTAATTCTGTGCTTGTTTGCAGAATAACCACGCTTGGCTTTCTCTTTTGGATACTTCAGCTTTGAGATAGCATAGCAACAGTGCATGATACACAGAGGGAGACATAGTTTAATATTCAAAAGGATTTAATTGTCCTGAAAGAAAAAAAAAAATATAGTAGGTGCAACCAAGGTAACTGCCAAAGAACAGCAGAGCTTGAAATAACAGAGCATTAAGTAATGGTTAAGTGTATTCAATACTATATTTGAATGTAATTCTTCTAGTAATATTAAATGTTAATTTGAAATACTTTTTCAAATGCAATTCTCATTTTTCAGATTACCTTGACTGCTCACACACCAGCTTTAATTTTTATCTGATTCTGTGAAAACTTTCAAATTCAATTTCAATGGATGAGGGCTCTACACAGAAGTCAACAGACCTGAGTTTGGATCTTTGGATCCCAACAGCAGTGGCTCGGTGCTAATCTGTGCTAGGCCCTACCCTTGTCTAGGGAAAGACTGCACTCCTGAACTTTCCACTCTGGGATCCCAGTCCCGTGGGACAAGTTTTCAGGATCTGTGTGTCTGGAAGAACTGTGTGGAGTGGACAGAGGAAGCTGCTGCTGCAGCATCCAGGGCTCACGGATTTACTGACAGGTGCTGACTTCCTCTATGGAGGGAGCACCTCTTCCCTGGGAAATTAGGGGCTGCTGTTGCATAATGCTTTCTCTGTGTGCTTTGGGAGCTTTCCAAACTTCAGTCAGGACACTTTTATATTGAAAGCTTAAGAATGAACAGTGATTTTAATGTTAATTGTGTCGCTGTGCATGATTTTCAGTGTCAACAGCGAATCTCATCTGCCATCAAGCTGCACACTTACCCTCAACAGGCTTCTCTGGTTTGCAAGCATTATCAGAAATATTTGTATCAGTAAAGCACTCACAAGTCTTGCAACACAGAACAAAGTCACTAGTATAAATATGTTCAGGGCAAATGCCCTGAACGTGCTGCATTTTCGCCCAGAAGGAAGAAAACTCTTCTGTAGAACTGAGCTTGAAAACCTAAGGCCAGAGAGGTATGGTTTGGGTGGCTTTGTGAAAGCTGCTTTTCAGATTTCATCCTTTCTCTGTACATCTTGGGTAAGGTTGTGTGACGTACCTCGCACCTCAGAAGCTGCTAACCATAGAAACATTTAGGTTGATGTTTGATTACACTGTATATGTTCAAAATCATTGATACATGCTGTACACGTGCTGGGAAAGGCTGCAGCACAGCAGCTAGTAATACAAAAGCACCCAATGTTCCTGGAGTATCTGCTGCAAGAAAAGTATGGTTGGCTATTTATGTTTGGCAGTAAGAGCAAACCCCCCTCCTTTGCAATTACTGCCCCAGTGCTGGTCCCTTAGTTAAATTCTGATTGTTTCATGGGGATTGGTTCCCAGAGCTTCAGGTGAGGCTCACAGCAGTGAGGATTGCTCAGCAGATTGGGTCACCAGATCCCGTTTCTGCAAATAGTCCAAAGGAATGGAGGGAGCAGGTGGATGGCGAAAAGTGATCGGTCAAAACTGATGACACTTCCAGACAGAGGCTAAGGTATGTCTTCCATGATAGCTCCCTGAGCAGAGGCATCCATGCAGGCAACCTTGCAACCTTAGCGGTGTCATTAGTCCCACTGATGTTGGGGGGCATGGTTGTGAGGCCCTACCTAGAGAGGGAAAAAGGAAAAAAAGGCAGCTTTCATTGAAGATAGCAGGGGAAAGCATTTCCCTCCGGGTCGTTTGAAGGCTGCTCCTCAACTAAGGAGTAAGTGGCCTGCAAGGTTTCAGTCACCGTGAAATATCTCAGGCTTTTCTTTTTATTTCCTTTTGCAATGTGTACCTACATCTCTGCATGTTTTGGGTTGGGTTTTTGTTGGTGGTGGTGTTTTTTTTGTTTTTCTTTTCTATCTGCCCACCACCAAAATCACATCCAGCCGCAGGAAGCTGAGATCCCGGAATGAAAAACCAGCAGGACAGCTAAAAGGAGCTGGGGAGTAACACAGCTTGGAACAGGCACCAGGGAGCTTCCCAGCTCTCAAGGTGCGGGAAGCACAGGGGGGGTTGTTTGGTTGGTTTTATTAATCTCCCGGGGAAGAAAACAGCTAATCCGGATTTAAGGTGAAGCCACCTGTGCGCAGCTCCAACTGCGAGCCGGCGGCCCAGGCGCAGCGATGGCCATGAAGCACCCGAGGAACTCAATTCTGTGAAGAGACGGGAATGGGGATCCCGGGCCCCGCTCCCCGGGCGGAGGGAGAGCGTGTGTCCCCCTCAGAGCGCGGCCCCGTGGCTGGCGCTGGGCCCTCCCGTTAACGCTC